AGACGGCCCGGCCCCGGCGGCGGTGCCGGGTCGCGCCCAGGTGTTCGCGACCGTGGTGGACACATTCCTGGAGAAGCTGGTGGCCGCCGGGAGGTGAGGCGGAAGCGGGGTCGCGCGGATAGGGGAGGGACCCCTGACCCCGGTCCCAACCCTGCCGTGACCCTGGGCCCACCCGGATCACCAGGAATTGCTCTGGGCCTGGTCCTGACCCCGGCTCCATCGTTAACTAACCCTGACCCGGCTCTGAGCCTGGCCCTAACCCCGGCCCCATCACTGACTCTAACGTCAACCCCACCGTGACCCCAGTCCTGATCCTGCCCTCCTTCCCCCCAATCGGTTTTGCAGCTACCAGAGGTTTGTCAACTGCTACCGCTGCTTCTACAAGCTGCAGCCCCAGCTGACCAGGAGCATTTACGATCAGTTCATCTCCCAGCTACAGGCGTCCATAAAGGTGAACGGGGGAGTGACACGGGTGCCTGGGGGGCTGTGGAGGGGCTTGGAGTGTCGAAAAGGGGTTTCAGAGCCCTGTGAAAAAGTGCTGAACAGGTTGATACTAAGGGCAGCAAATACATTTCCTAAATGGCAAAAGCAGAAAGCTGAGGCTGCTGTCCAGAGCTCTGTCTTCCCCAGAAAAAGCTGTAGGATCATTCAGGTTGCAAAATACCACTAGGACTGTCGAGTCCAAGCATTTCCCCAGCACTGCCAAGACCACCAATACACCATGTCCCTAAGTGCCACATCCACACATCTGTTAAATACCCCCAGGGATGGTGATTCCCAGGCTGTAGGCCCTTCATCCAGTACAAAGCTGGAAGGACGCTGGATAAGGGATGGAGGGATAGGATAAGGGGAAATGACTTCCCACTGCCAGAGGGCAGGGTTAGGTGGAATATTGGGAAGAAATTCTTCCCCGAGAGGGTGGGGAGGCCCTGGCACAGGTTGTCCAGAGAAGCTGTGGCTGCCCCATCCCTGAAGGAGTTTAAGGCCTGGTTGAACAGGGCTTGGAGCAACCTGGGATAGTGGAAGGTGGAACGAGATGTGCTTTAAGGTCCCTTTGAACCCAAACAATTCCCCAATTCTATGACTGGTGAAGGCTCACAAGCAGAGTAGTGCCTGTGTTTATTCACTTTGTGTCCTTCCTTCACAGGAGGAGGTCCAGGAGGTGAAAAATGAAGGGAATCTGGAGGGACTCTTTAGTTCACTGGATAAGATCGTGGAGGAGGCAAAGGACCGGGAAGAGCCTGCATGGTATGGATGGCCAGGGGTGGGGGTCATGTTCCTACAAGGGCAGCAGGTGGTTTCTGGGTGATTTTTGGGTACCCTGTTGACCTCATGCTGCTAGGGAGGGTCTAAAGGCTGCTCTATCTTTACCAGTGTATCTTTACACCGGGCCTAAAACACACAAAAATCAGTTTAATCTGTGCTTCTCTGGGAGTTCCCTCCAGTGGGGCTCCGCACTGGGGTCCCCGCTTTAGCTGTTCTCAATTCCCTGTGCCAGAGGAAACTATGGGAGCTGATCCCACCTGTTCAGCATCCAGCTGGGCTGTGTGGGACTAATCACTGCACTCTGGCTGCCCCACGTGCTCCTGTGTGCCCAGGCGGCCCAGCGGGATCCCGGAGGAGGACATCCGCAGCACCATGGTGCCCTACCTCCTGAAGCACCGCTCCCACCTGTGCAGAGTTCTCAGGGAGAAGGAGGAAGAGAACAGGAAGGTGGCCGAGTCTGTGCTAATGGGGAGGAACAGGATTGCAGAGTTGCAGCAGCTGATCCAGGCTCGCCAACAGGCCTGGCAGGTAAAAATAGACCAAACCAAACCAACATCCTCATAGCACTTGCTGGAGAGGGGCTCAGTGGGGCCTGGAATGACTTTCAGACCTTCCACTTCTCCAAGACCTCCCCAGCAGCCAAGTTTTGCTGAAACTTTAGTTGTGGACATTTTCTCTGGAGGTTTCAGGTGCTTTTCCTTGTGCAGTGGGTGGGATGTGGGGTGGTTCTGGGGGAGATGAGGGGATTCTGCACATGCATGGGACAGCAGTGTATGACACACTCAGCCTGCATTCCGCCCTGAGTGTGGCAGGGTGGGAGAAGCATCATGCTGAGGTCTGTGGGTTGTGTTCCTTCCAGGCAATCAGTAAGGAGCAACAAGAACTCATCATGACATTCCAGGAGCCCCAGTGAGGCCGCATGATGTCCCACAAGCTCTGCTGAGACAGTTCATCATCCCAAAGCACTGATGGGACAAGGTGCATGCAAAACCCAAACTGAGAATCGCCCCATCAGGCCACTGGAGACTGCAGAGTGACTTAAATGGCTGCTGAATTGGCACGGTTTGATCAGATTTGGTGCAGAAAAAATACCATTGGGCTCTCTGGAAATGGATGGCAATTCCCTATTTCCTACTCATTTAGACCGAAAGGAGTGTCACAAAGTGTGTCTGTGCTCTCTTCTGCTCCACTCAGTGCTGTGGTACTGAACCAGGCCTGGTTCCAGTTTCCAAAGCTACATTTGGGGTTTTGTAGCTGTTTTAGTTGTGTGTTAGACAAAATTTAGTGCCTGGAGCCCCAGACCAGGAGCCCATAAGCCCCTCAGCAGTACACTGAGGGTGGGTCACAGGCAATGCTCTTGCTGGTGCTTGCAGGTTCATTCAGTCTCCATGTGTTGAAACCACTGCCCATTGCAGATGTGGCAGCAGCTGCTGCACCCAGTTTGTTACCATTCATTCTGTTCTTCAAATTATTTTCTATCCCTGGTCCTCTCCCAGCAGCCTGAGGTATCTTGGGGTCTGTGAAGAGGTTGGAACAGCCCTGCCTGCACTTTGTGAGCTTTTGTGGCACAGGGGTTTAATGTTTTTCTCTGGAACTTTCTAGAACCAGACTGGTTTTCCCTACCCAGAGTTGTCTGTTACTGCCTCAGCGGAAGTTTGTGGGCTGGGGAAGCAAGGGCTCCCAGGATCTCCCTGGCAGGGCCCCAGGAGTGACCTGTGCCTCCAGCATGAACAGGTTCCTTGGGGCTAGGCAGGGAATGAGGAGAGTCCCCCCTGCACCTGATGAGGACAGAGAGGTTCTGAGTCCAGCAGCCACTGAGGTCAGGTCTCCAAGGAGAGGCCATGCCCTGTGACAAACGGGGGAGCAGCAGTGGCCGCTTGCACCACACCCCAACCTCTGTTTACAATTAAAGGCTCCGTCAGAGTGGCTGCAACAGTTTCCCCTCTGCTGTGTTGGAATCTCAATGAATTTGGGCTGTTGTTCCCAGCTTGGCTCCTGCTGCGTTCTTGGCCCACGTACTCTGTACTTTATGGGTTTGTCTTACAAAGGCTCTGGTTCAGCAGTTCTGTCCGCCCTCTGCCCCAAAGCCTCCAGTTCCGCTTTTTGAGACAGGGCTGGGATTTATAGGATCAGAAAGTGGTCAGGTTCTGAAAGAAGAATGTTATTCACGGGCTCTGACTGCCCTGGCCACGCAGCATCTGCCCATGGCATGTGGCAGGGAGGAGCTGTGTGGAGACCAAGGGATAGGCACCTGCTCACCCTCCTCCAGGGACACAGTGCGACTGCCACGACAGCAGCATGAACTGGTCCCCCAAAAAGGGGCTGGCAAGTTCCCTGCACATGGAGGAAAACCCCACAGATTTTGGCAGGAAAGTCTCCCCATGTTGCAGAAGACAATTCTGGGATCCAGCAGTGGGAGCCGGGACAGGGTAATGCGTGACTGGGGAGTGAAGTGAGGAGCCCCCAGCACCCCATCACCCGTGCCAGTGGGGCCTATGTGCTGCCAGGCTGGCAGGGCTGGGCCCACCAACAAATCTCCCCTGGCCTGGGGCCATTTTGCCCCCTCCCTTTGTGGGCTCTGGCTGGGCATAGGGGGACTAAGTTCATCCCAAACCACAATTGCCACCTCTGCCGGCAGCTCCGGCCATGGCGGATGTGCTGGAAATAACCTTGGTGGGGCCGTGCCCCCCCTTGCCAAGGCCACAAGACCCTATAAAGACAGCCAGAACTTCACTCAGCACAGCACAGGAAGGCACCATGAAGTCCCTTGTCCTGCTCACCCTCTTGGCCCTGCTCACTCTTGGCCTCTGCCACAGAGGTATGGGGGGTTCCAGGGCTTATGGGGACAGTGGGGGGTGATTCTGTGTCCTGGGAAGGGCTTGGAGGAAGAGAAGGGACTGAGAAAAAGGTGGAAAGATTTGCTGAGCCTTGGGGTGGGGGGCATAGGGATGCAACAGGGAGATAGGGAGCAAGACATCCTTCAGCAGATTGGGGGTCTCAGTGAGGGATCTGAGCTCCAAAAGAAGTGGGGTGAGAGCGAAGCCCACATGGGGCCTCTGTGAGCCCACCCAGGTATCCCTTTGTGTCACTTGCAGCTGCTGATAGCTCTGCCAGCACCAATGACTCACCCAGCTCCAAAGGTGAGTGACCACAGCTGCTCAGCCCCACTACCTTGGGGAGAGGGGGACATGACCCCCCCCAACCCACCACGCTGTCCCTGCAGCCTTTGTCTCCAGGCGTGCCAGTGCTGAGGTGGTGCAGAGACAGAAGCGGAATTATGCCTATGACAGGTAGGGATTGGTCCTGGCTGAGGGGTCACGGCCCCCAGATGAGGGGAGGCTTGCTGGATCAACTCCTCTCCAGGAGCCTCCAGCTCCCATGGGACCCCCCAACAGCCCCTGGGTTCCCCATTTGTCCCCAGCGGTGTCTATGGAGCCCCACGGGACCCACTGGAGGCCAAGCGTGAGGTGTGTGAGCTCAACCCTGACTGTGATGAGCTTGCCGACCAGATTGGAATCCAGGAGGCCTATCGGCGCTACTACGGCCTGGTGTAGCCCCAGCCACCACCTTGTGTTGTGGGGTGGGGGCTGAGCTCCTATAAACCCACCTCAGCCCCACCCCCATCTTCATCCTCTCACCCTTTCTGTCAGTCCTGGAAAGAAATAAATGCAAATGGTGGAGCCTGTTCCTTCCCAAGCTTGGGACATGGGTGGGTGGGAGGCTGCAGGGGATGTGCCCCATGGCACCCCACCCCACACAGCTGAGGACTCCTGATTTCCCTCCCAGTGTCCCCCCAGGCTCCAAGGAGGAGGGGTGCTATCGCCCCCAGATCCTGCTTCCAGCAGTGAGGAGCCCAGAGCTGCACCATCATCATCATTCCAGTTTAATTTAAAGCTGTTTCTCCCAAGCATGAGGTTATTGGAGAAGAGCAGAGCTGCTCCGTGCACCCCAGGACCCTGTGGACTGCCCAGGAATTCCATCACAAACCACCTTAATTACTTATTAACCTTGACACACACATGCACACTTACACTGCAGGGTCTCTGCATAGGATGACGTATTGTCCCTGCCCCAAATTCATGGAATCACTACTGGTTTGCATTGGAAGAACTAAGGCACAGACCGGGTACAGAGGGTGTTGGGAGAGGGACACTGCAAGACACCCCATAGCAGGGCCCAGCACAAAGAGGATGCTGGGTTCTCTGCAGCCCAGCCCCTCACACACAGTGTAAAGGGTCCCTCTAGTGCCCACCCCAGTGGGGACACCTGGGGTGCAGCTGGAGCCACTGGGTCTCTGGGGCAAGGCCACAGTCAGGGCACTGATGATGGGAGTGTTGCCCACAAGGGCCAGCCTGGCAGTGCCAAAGGTGCTTGGGATCCTGGTAGGGCTTAGGTGGCCCCACAGCCAAACCTGCAGACATCAGAGGATGTCCTCCAGCTGCCAAGAAGTGCCCAGCACAGAACAGATGTGGAAAAGCTGGCAGCTGTGTCCTGCCAGGCTGAGAGGACATCACTCATGGCTGCTGGGGCTCCTTGTACAGCTCCTGCTGCAAGGGGCTGCTCTGGGGGGGGCGGACAGGAGCTGCGGCAGTGGGGAACACTGGGGGTTACTGCTCACTGATGCAGTCAGCAGCACAAGGCACTCAGGTGGGATGTGAAGAGGAAGCTGGTGAGCAGTGCAAAGAGGAGTTGGATGGTACCTGACCTCAACTTCATTCCAGGCACAGTCACACCAGTGGCAGGGGAGGATGGTGAGAAGCAGCAGGGAACCCGCTGGAAGCACCCTGGGTCCTGACTTGCCCTGGGCCACCCTGACTCACTGGGTGGAAGAGCAGAAATTCAGGGCATGAATAGTGATTTATTTTCTCTCCCTACCTCCCAGCTACCCTTGGCACCAGGGCATGGTGGGACCCTCACACAGCCCAATCACCAGTCTTGCAGGCCTCAGCCCACCCTCTCCCACTGCCTTAAATGGACATTGGAAAGTCACTATTTTTAAAATTTACACTTTCCCTATCTCCCGCTTCTCCACCCCCTTACTCCTGTTAAAAGTGAGCTGCAAAGGCCCCGATGAGCTACTCCAGGTCCTCATGCAGGGTCAGGGTGCTCCTGTGACAGCAGCATGCAGAGTTCTAGCAAGAGGATGAAGTCATCCCAAATGGCAGAAGCAGCAAGGGAAATGCGATTCCCATCACAGGGATAAGGAAGGGCCCACCTGCACTTCTTTACTGAAAAGTGTGGTCAAAAGCATATGCTTGAGGGTGGATTTACAGATGGAAAATGCACTCAGCCCCAGGGCTGCACTGGAAAGGTGGGATGGGCTGGGAACGACTACAGGACACAAAGTACAAACATCTGATATTTTATTAAGCCAGTTGCTGTGTTCAGACCATGGTCAGACATATGCTGGGAGCCCCAGCCCCTCCTTGCCCAGCTGGGCCCCACATCCCCTCATCCCTCAATGAGAGCGATCCTTCCTGGCTCTGCAAGCCTGTGTGCCACACGAGGGCTGAGGAGAGGTGATTGTCCCTTGCCTCAAACCTCCCCTCACTGCAAGTGGCAAAGCTGGCAACACGGCCCCGGTGCCAGCCTGCTTTGTCCCCAGCCTGGCCAGTGCTGCTGCACACCAAGAAGGAAAAGAGCCCTAAATTGAAGATGTGAGACAAATACTGAGGCATTGCAGGTGGCCTCAAGCCAAGCAAGGATGGGAGCAGAGGAGCCACTTGGAACAGCCCATGAAACCATGGAGCAGAAGCCCAACAAGCACCAGTGACTGTCTACCATGGTTTTAGGGACAGCCCAGCCAGCCTCAGCCACCACAGACCTGTGTTCTCCCAGCATGGGGTCATCCCAAAAACTCCCAACAGCTCAACAGGGTGGTAATGAAAGAAAAACCAAACCCAAAAAACACACCAGAACACATAAGAACTCTTGTTTTCAGATGGTTTTTGTGTTTGCTCCCCTTCCCAGCACAGCGCGCACTACCAGACTGGCTTACAGCTGCTCTGGGGCAAGCCTGGAGTTTGTGCAGGATCAGAACTCCATGGAAGGGCTGTGGCCAGAGCCTGCACAGTCTCCATCCTGCCTGATGCTCTCCTGATGAGGCAGCTCACAGTTCTGGCATGGACCAGGATGCACAGGGTGGGGGGCTTTCAGGGAGCCCCTGCTGCAGCACCACAGCTGCCACAGGCTGCACAGAGCCTCCCACAGACCATCCCGTTCCACACCAAGACCCACTTTGTATCAGCAACCACCATGCCAGGGAAGAAATGCAGTGGCCCTTGGACAGAGCAGATCTGTTCAAGGAGGAAACTCCAGCTCATCCTGAGTGCTGGGATGGGGGCAGAGAAGTGCCTTCCTTCACCCCAATCCTGAGGATGACACATTGAGTCCCCTCAGAAGGCCACACTTGCTGGAGGACACTACATGCCATCTCCCCAAGGCTGCTCTGCAGCCACACTACTCCCACACTGCAGATCCTGCCAGTTTTTCAGCTCCAGGTATCTCTGACCAGGCATGCAAATCTAAAAACCATCCACCAGGTCCTCAAGCAGAGCTGCGTGCTCTGGAGAGGAAGAGGGTAGCATAGGGACCCTTTTCAGGTGTCCTTTTTAAAGGTCACAATCCCTCCCCCTCCAGCCCAGAATGGAAAGTGCCAAGGGGGCAGACAGGATTCCCCACTGCATGGTGAGGGGTTCTTTCTCTCCTCCAGGTATACAAAACCTTGGAATATTAAACCAATTCCTCAGGGTTCCAGAGCAGAGACTAAGTGATAGCTGTGAGCAGCCCCTGCTGTCATCAAGTGGCCCCACATGGGCTCACAGCAGCTCCACCCATTGCCTCTGGTTACAGAAATTTAAACTGGATCCTGTGCCCACACAAAGCCTCAGTGACTCAGAACACAGCTCCTCCTCACCCTACACAACTGCACAGCACTTGGCTCCCAGCTCCCTGCACAGCTGTGTGAGCTGCAAGAACTGAAAACACTTGCCATCAGTGAGACAGGAATTCCCTCTGGGCTGCTGCTTTACCTGTACTGCTGTTCTCTCCCCTCAAGATCCAGCCAGGATCTAAGGAATGATCGACCCAGAGTGAAGCTGAAGACTGCCCCCAGCTCCTCACTGCTTTGACCACTGCCCAGCAATGCTTCTCTTCACCAACCCCAAGTGCAAGGGTGACTGAGGCTCTTGGGACAGACACATTGGGCTCAACCTGCAGTGACCTCCAGACTCCTCTGCTGTGCTTGGCAGCCAGGACAAGGCAGGGGTTTCTTCAGCAGCAGGAAAAAGCAGAGCACACCAACTCTCTGTGCCCCGCCACCAGACAAGGAGGGTTTCACCTCAAGAACAGTCCCACAAGATGATTCCCTTCTCTTTTTCCACCCCATTGAACAGAAATAATGAGCTACACAAACAAATGGCTTCAAATAAAACCACTGGAGGAAAGTGACTGAGAGCTTTACAGCCCATCTCAGATCTCCAAGAATCTGCAAGGTGTGCTGAAGTCTCTGACCTGCTGTCCTGAATATGACCTTTTCTTGGCTTAGCCAAGCAAAGCACTGTGAGTTTCAGGAGAAGCTGTAAGAGAAGATTCTGCAGGGAAACCTCTGTCCCTCACAACCAGCCTATCAGCCTCCAGGGATGGACCAGCTGTACCATGGAGGTTGGCATTTCCTTCTGCTGTGCTGTAAAGGAGCTGGAACTGGAATAGAAATTAATCTTCTGGTACTTGTGGTGGTATTTTTAGTTTATACCTGAAAACAAGGAACATCCTGCCCCTGCAGTAGAACACACCATGGTCTGAGCCTGCACAGAGTGGAGTACATGACTCAACTTGTCATGTTACTCTCTGGCTGTAGCAGCTTCTGGCTGGCCCATGTGACAACACAGACAGATAGAAGACTCCAGTGGTTTGTACTTGCATAGCTGCTGCTGGTTCATGTGGATGGAGATGTCTGTTCCACGGGCACACAGAGACAAGAGGGAGCATGAAGAGACTGTCCAGTCCCTCTGCTGCTGCTCTGCGAGCAACCTGCAGCTTCATATCCGAACAGCGGCCAAGTGACAGCGTGTCAGACACAGGTTGCATGAGATGCTCAGGATGGAGGTCTGCAGGATCCTTCACAGGTCACCTGGGGAACCAGCTCTTCCAGCATCCATCCAGGCAGCATCAGCCCTCCTGTTTGGGATGCGAAAAGCATGGAACAGTCCGTAAGCTCGGTGCTCCTGGGCAGCAGCGGTCATGGCACTGCCTCTGCCAGCCCAGAAGGACATGAGAAAAGGGGACACAAACACTCCAGCTCTGTCACCATCTCTAGCACAGCATTGCAGCAGTGGTGCATTGAACCAGCAGAAGATAATGGCTTTGAGATTCTCCTTCCTCCTCCATAGCCTACTGAAAGATTTAGTGGGGAAAAAAAGAAAATATGAAAAAGAAGCTTTGGGTCCTTTGGAGATATCTGCTCCATCCCAGTGTTGCAGTGCTCAAGCCAAGCATTTAAGCCTTAATGGTGTATAAATCCCACCCAGCTCTTCTCTCTCTTTTTGCAGTTCTGCCAGATTCCTCCTTTTCTCCAAGGTCTAATGCAAAGTGGGAGAAACTGGGGATGGAGTTACAGAGTCCTGTGGCCTCCCTGGAGCAGTGCAGTTGAACTCATGTTGCTCATGAAGCATG